TCAGCCGCGATTGGCGAGTAAGATGTACGGAACGGGAAGACCAAAGGGCGATTGTGGCCTTCATGCGCGTGATTAACAATGTCGGCGAGATACCGCATGCTGCTCATATCGCTCTATTGATGCATTGCAGGTAGAGGTCGCAGCCACCCACTGTAATATACTTCTACCTCACAGCTATGCCCATTGAGAAAAGCTTGTTTTCTACGACAGAAAGAGGATTGCCACTTCTGGTGTACTGAATAATGTCAAGTACTTTTTCCCAGACGCCTAGTTTTAGAGGTTCAGCAATTTAAATCCAACCTTTGGACTCGAAATGATGCTCCTCGGCATAACTAAGGACCTTATTGAATTAATCAAAATGAGTGTACGTATCAATCAAAAAGTGTACGTATATCTGCAACTATATAGTTTGATACTTGACAGTTCGACCTTCGTAATCAACGTCATCCGCAGCAGCTCCATGTGATGTGCCCATCAGCGGTGACTTGCATGTGAATTTTTTTAGTGAAACAGTCTTACGCCCTCTTTCCCAGTTGCCGTGCTAGACGGCAAAACACAGTCAAGACCTCCGAAAAGATGGAACTATTCCCTTACGGAAAGGCCAGTGTGCCACTGATCTTCCTACTACCGTGCCAATCATTCTTGACATTCTTTGAGTAGGCTTATCAGTCATCTCTTGAGCATTCCACTCCCATGCTACGTAAAGAGTGTTTGCGTGACTTCACGCAGTAGAAAATGGAGTTGTCATATCTTGTGGTTTGCACAATCTGCGGCTTGTATAATATGTCAAAAATCAGAAACTGAATGGACTTTCGGAACGATTGGACGTGAACATCAGATGGAAGAAGTTTGAATAACGTTTTTGTGGGGTGCATTTCGGAGTATAGACCTGATTTCTCCAATATACAGCATTATTTTACTGTCCAAAAGTAACTCCTCCCTGGCGTTCTACCGCAGTTTTTAACGTTAACATGGTATCAATAATAACTGAATTTTGACGCCGTTCGCATGAATCATCTTATTGTGTGGTTCACTGGGTTATTAGAAATGACATTTCCAATGCATTCTGCTGTTGCGTAATATTACACTAGCACTTTTTCTGGGAACAAGTCTGTGCCGAGGTTCCGCATTCGGTTGTGGGGGCTTTTTTCGTTTTCCTGATTGAAATTTCAAAGAACCGCTTGCTATCTTTTGGACGGTGCTCTCATTGGGTGTTTACCTCGTACCTTGGATATGCTCGACCAGTGTACAGTAGCCTGTTTTCAAGCGTAGTTTGCCCGTCCCATGCAAGTTTGCCTCTTAGACGAAGCTGTTGTATATTGCCAACTCTGGCACTTGTGTCGTCTTTTTTTCGAACAATCTTTGGATGCCTTCCACCACAGGTAGATTCAGAATCACTAACTTTTTCCGACCTAGCAATCCGTCTCATCTCCACCGTCCCACCATACCTTACTACTCTGTGAATATGGCGCTCATGTTGTTTGCTAGCTGTGTCTTTAGGCCTTACGAATTTGATTTTTGTCGATCTACTGTCTTTTATCTGCATGATCTCATTCATTTCGGTTGTTGAAAAATGCTGTCTGCAGACTTTGTGGACAGGCATGAACGAAGTTCACTTTTAGGCAGGATAGCATTGCCGACAAAGACGAGGAGGACTAGCATAGTCATTTCTGGCTAATTAACCGTCACCGGTCAGTCAAACCCGACCTTTGGTTTTTGCAGCCCCTGGGGCTCGATCCCTCGACCTGTTGGTTAGAAGTCTAGCGCCCTAACCGCTGAGCAATGGGCTCGTTTTCCTGTCAGTTGAGAGCGGGTATATACAGTGAGTAACTAATCTTACTAAATGTTGGTTGAAATTCTGAAATGCTTTCTCGATTAGGAAGGATTTTAAATGTGTGAAAATCCCCATCACTATATTCAGAAGAGAGAGTGGCGAGTGAACGTTCCTTTCGGTAAATTCTCATCAGGCCAATACAATTACATAGAGCGGGGTACAGTGAGTGAAACAAAATCGATAAAAGTTAGGTTTTAAATTACAGGCTCGGCAAGAGCGGAAGGGCGCCGAAAGTTGTATGGGGTTAGTCAACCTTTGACCACGGTAAGCGCGGAGCCTGAACCAGGTTCTTTTGGGCGCATAGGGTCGGTTTTCGTAACCTTATGGCGGCCGCTTCTGCTGTTGCTAGCAGGCGCTGGCCCAGTAGCTTAGGGTAGCTCGAGGGGACCTTGTAAATCACACGAAATGCTTCGGTGGGGTCCACACGATGCCCTGAGTCCACTGCATGCGCAAGGATGGCGCTGTCTATTCTCCTAGTTTCACCCTTTGCCAGCCATGCGGGAAGGTGCTCTCGTATTCTTTTGGAAAGGCGCCGACTCGTACGACCAATATAACCTGCTCCACAGGAGCAAGTGAATGAGTAGATGCACATTGAGGCGGTCTGAGGTGGCAGCCTATCCTTGCCTTCTCCGCGTAGAATAGGGTTAGTGGAGAATGATATGCGAACCCTTGCTGCTGGGAAGGTTCCCGAGACAGCTTGGTCAAGGCGTCTTCTTAGGAGTTCACTTGCAGCGTCTCCTTGGAAGGGGACTTTGAGGAACAACGTTTTCTTCTCGGCGGTTAGTGTGGTGGGTTTTGCAGGTCGTTCGGCAAGGTTCTTTGCAATGAACCTGTGAGGATACCCATTTTCGCGAAGCAAGTCCTGGATTTTTCTAAGTTCTTCCTCGATACTATCTGTCGAACAAATTTTTCTAGCCCTTTGTGCCAAACACCTGACTAGATTCCGTTTTTGTTGGAGAGGTACGAAACTAGCAAAGTTCGTGTATTGTCCAGACCAGGTTTTCTTTCGATAGACACTCCTTCGGATGCTACCGTCAGATCTCCTGTTTAGAAGGACATCTAAGAAAGGAAGCGAACCAGCCGACTCCATCTCCAACGTGAATTTGATCGACGGATGTGCCTGATTTGCAGCATTTAGGAGGGCAGCGACGTCAGTTTCTGTGGTTGCAATTGCAAAGATGTCATCAACGTAGCGACCATAATGTTTAAGCTTCTTGATCTGATCGCTTAGTTGAAATCTCTCCAGCTTGCCCATGAAGACGTCGGCTAAGAGGTTCGACAGATAGTATCGAGGAAGAACTTAGAAAAAATCCAGGACTTGCTTCGCGAAAATGGGTATCCTGACAGGTTCATTGCAAAGAACCTTGCCGAACGACCTGCAAAACCCACCACACTAACCGCCGAGAAGAAAACGTTGTTCCTCAAAGTCCCCTTCCAAGGAGACGCTGCAAGTGAACTCCTAAGAAGACGCCTTGACCAAGCTGTCTCGGGAACCTTCCCAGCAGCAAGGGTTCGCATATCATTCTCCACTAACCCTATTCTACGCGGAGAAGGCAAGGATAGGCTGCCACCTCAGACCGCCTCAATGTGCATCTACTCATTCACTTGCTCCTGTGGAGCAGGTTATATTGGTCGTACGAGTCGGCGCCTTTCCAAAAGAATACGAGAGCACCTTCCCGCATGGCTGGCAAAGGGTGAAACTAGGAGAATAGACAGCTCCATCCTTGCGCATGCAGTGGACTCAGGGCATCGTGTGGACCCCACCGAAGCATTTCGTGTGATTTACAAGGTCCCCTCGAGCTACCCTAAGCTACTGGGCCAGCGCCTGCTAGCAACAGCAGAAGCGGCCGCCATAAGGTTACGAAAACCGACCCTATGCGCCCAAAAGAACCTGGTTCAGGCTCCGCGCTTACCGTGGTCAAAGGTTGACTAACCCCATACAACTTTCGGCGCCCTTCCGCTCTTGCCGAGCCTGTAATTTAAAACCTAACTTTTATCGATTTTGTTTCACTCACTGTACCCCGCTCTATGTAATTGTATTGGCCTGATGAGAATTTACCGAAAGGAACGTTCACTCGCCACTCTCTCTTCTGAATATAGGAAGGATTTCTTAGGTGCGGTTGCAAAACCGATTATCTAACGACACAATCCTATAATATTTCGGACTCGGCAGGACGTCAGCTTTTGAATGCACTGCCTTACAATTTCCTGTAAAAACCGTACTCGGTAAGAAATGACCACTTAAGTGGCATGCACCTTTAACATTGATTTTCGATAGTCGTGCAAATGTTATAGAAATCATGAACAAGAATATGCTTCCTTTCAGCCGTTTAATAGAGAATCATGTCACGATGAAGAAGGATAATTACGTTTTAAAAAGTTTTATAATTTCCGAATAATTCGGAGCCTGATCAGTCGTTGCATTAGCGCTCAGTGATTTCAGTCTACAAGGTGCATACGTTTACGTAAAGAAAATCACATATTCTTCCATGCCTTTAAAAAGATAATATATAAAGTCCGAGAACTTTTTCAATGGATGCGGACTCCGTCGCACATTTCCCGAGGAGCAGTGGTAAACGGAGAGGTACGATGCTGTATGAATGGACATTGCACGGTCTTAAAAGTCTCATAATTAGAAACTTCTTTTTAAACCTAATTATCCTTCTTTCTCGTATATAAAGTATAACGGTGACGTTATTCTTTATCAAACGACTGAAAGAAAGCATATCATTGTTCATGATTTCTATGAAGTTTGCGAGACCATCGAAAATCAATGATATGCTTTTACAGGAGATTGTAAGGCAGTGCATTCAAAGGTTGACGTCCTGCCGAGTACGAAATATTATAGGATTGTGTTGCTAGATAATCAGTTTTGCAACCGCACCTAAGTTATCCTTCCTAATCGAGAATGCGTGTCAAAATTCCAGTCAACATTTCGTAAGATCTGTCACTCACTGTACAGTGGCATAGGGACGCTCACTGATCACGACTGACAGGACAGCGTAAAAATTTCACACCATTCTCTTCGCTGTTGGGAAGATTTCATTTAACGCTCATACAATTTTGCAATGGGTGTGGACCATGATGTGTACCATATAAGTAGAATTCATAAATGTGCTGATGTGGTACTGTAGAATTGAACATTTCATGGTCCGAAAATGTTATAATTAGGAACTTTTAAGGACGGAATATACCCCTTAGTTTGCCAGAGAGTTTGAAGAAAACGTAATCCGCTACTGAATGAGTGTAAAAAAGAAACGCTTGCTCATATTTTTTTTATAAACTGTCTGAATTTATCAGGGCACGAAAATCAATTGGAAAATTTCATACTACATAAGTAGTTACTTTTCGCAGAGTGAAGTTTTTACAGGCGGCCGAAAATGAGCTCATTCAGAGGTCAAAATCTTGGCTTAATCGAAATATTTTGCGATTATGCTGCACAATAACTAACACTACAGCCCTTCTAAAAGGATCTTTTCGAATCGAAATTATATTTCAGAATTTCACTTAACATTCCGTGAGATAGCACGTGTAAAAGTTCAGTTGCAGTGTGTTCTAGTCTGCGCTCATTGGGGCACCTGATATAGTGGCAACTGCCATTGTCTTAACGTGTCCGCCGTACTGCAGTCAGTCCGCACCATCGTACAATCTTTACGGTCAGGGCGTCTGGGGGTGTTCCCAGCGAGGGCGAACAACCTTGTGTGACGGTAGGATGTTGATCAAATGTGTTTTGCATCTTTTGGCAACCGGCTGCAGGTTTTCATTGACGACGGGGACATTTTTCAGCGGTCACATGAGCGAATTCATATGAGATTTAGTGTTTATAAGTTTGGCAGCAATTCTTAAATAATATTTGCTAGTTGACAACCTATTTAATGCCCTCAGTTCATATTCCATAAGCAACTTCAGTTCGGAAATTCCAAATTTACGGGTTCCGACTCATAGTGCACTTAATTGTCTTGTGTTCTGCTCTCTGCCGGCTTGCCTGTAAGTGACACTGGGTGCATTTAGATGTGCATTAGAGAGCGTTTTGTCTAGGCCCGCGACTGTAAACTAATTGTAAATATTCTTTCCGACGTCTACCATCCACAGTGACTGAAAATGACAGCAAACGTGGCTAGTCACAGCTAGTAAATTTCCGCACTTTCAGACATATAACTTTGTATGTTTATTTGTGAAACGACTTCACTTTTCACTTATAACTCGCAGGATTGTGCTTTAATTGGAATAAATCTCACCATCCTTTGTTTTTATTGCTCGGAAAAATCACTGCAGAATGCGGGAAGAGAACGCTGTGCAGATGTCTCGCCCCCTCATCCGACGTATCCTTCATCAGCTGACAGTTTTTCCCCACTCCCTTCTGAAATCTCCCTCGAGGGAGGACAATAACGAAGCTGGGGAATTGAACCAATTGGAAGTTCACTTCCCGAACGACCTTTCTTCCAACCCCGCTGAGGTCGGTCGCTCTGCCTGCACGATGCCTTTCTTGCGTGGTGGAACGCAGAGTCTGAACTATCGTCTCCGTACCCTGTGTGAGCGGTCTCCCGTTGAGGAAATGACAAATGCGCCCATGAGGGGCACATCTCGGGACAGATATGGCGAGCCGAGCGCCGTTGCTATGTCGCTTCACTCGTCCCAGAAGCGTGTTGTAGACGGAACCTCTGTCCCCACTAGCGAAAACTGGGCTTGGGACCTCCACCGCACGGGACCTGGTGCCGATTCTGCGGCTGCTGGCAAGTGGGAGAACTTTGGAATTGCTAACTGGTGGGAGAATGAGGCGAAGTCGGACTTCTTTGCAACCGCCCTATACTCCTTTGCCACCGTGACCGACACAAACACCTCCGTCTACGAGACCGAGGACAATATGACCACGGAAGATCTGGAGGAATCGGAGTCTTTAGCGGGAGGCAGTGGAGTAACTAATAACTACCGCAATGCTGCGAGCGTGGATAGGCCTGTGATGGAAGGAGGAAATTTCGAATTTTTGCAAATAGATGGAGTCGAGCCCCTGGGTTCTGCCATTTCTGAGGCGACAGCAACTGTAGAGAGACCAACTCTTTTGCCAGTGACACTTGGGACATCAGACGGTGGCAAGGTTACACCTGATTACAGCATCCGTGTATGTTTACATTTCGTGGTTTTTATCCTTAAGGTAATGCAGCATTTTCTTGCCTATATATGCTGTCAAATCGAATCGCCTCCAGTCATAGGTGAAGAGCAGACAATCTCGGTAAGCCCGCACGTGTGCTTGCTGGCCCGTAACGGCTTGTTTGTGTGCAGTATGTCCTTGGGTTCAGTAAAGTCCACGGTGTTCCCCGAATACGTTTACTTCCACATGTCGTCTGAAGAACATTGTCTGCATTCTGTTTAACCAACTGCATTGTGTTACTGAGTCTACTGCCAAATCCGCGGATAAGAACACTGTTTCAAACTAAGTGTTAGGCTTTCTGAAGAAATTGTCTTATTTTTAGCAGCCTCTGCCTTCCCCTCAGGATAGGCCGGAGGCAAATTGCCAGAAAATCGTGCTTTGGACGGAGAATCAAGCTGGTTAGATGGTTAAACTTGCCTCAGTAAATTACGTGACGACGTTGATCTGACAGTGTGTTAAACTTTTAGCTGCATGGTCATTAAAATGACCTTAAGCACTGCTGTAACGTCCTGTGGTTTCGAGCTCTCACTCAACGGTGTACTGTGTGGATTCTCAAAAGCATTGTTAGGAATAGTAAACTAATCAGTTGGGCGCAACACTTGTACAACTTTCAATATCTCCGTCATTTTTCAGAGTAATCGACCGGCAGCAGATGCACACTTGGCAACTCCTGTTAATGATGCTCCACCAGCTGTGCATCCTTTAGACGCTGATCAACCTACTTTTGAAAGATTTTCCACGGTCATACCCAACGTCTGCACCGAGACCATCTGCCGTGACTGGCCGGTCCGTCTGCAAAATTCATCGCGTGAATGTCTCGGTATCTCCACCTGCTCTGCGAGAGCTTCTCAGGCGACCAGTCTTCGCAGCGTAGACTCCGTCGCGCTGATGGGAAACGGACGTCGACACACACATTCTGCGTCCAGCGCACAACTGAGCCTCGCTTCAGAACAAACAGTAAGAATTCCACCAAATACGAATGAAAATGTCTTAAAGGATTTTCAGGAGAATCAACAGAGGACATGATGTGGCTTCTTGCTTCACCGCCTCTACTATCTTGGATGTTTTGGAGTAAGTCAAGTAGGAACTCACTCTCCGGTCTTGGGTTACTGATTTTACATGCACTGTCTCTGAGTAGCGGCGGATCATGTCGTTCTACTGGTTGATTTCATATCTTTTTAAAAGCTTACTTTGTGAAATAGAGCCAGTCATAAGTGAGAACTGGAAAGTCACATCAACTGTGAGGAAGGGCTCATTGTCTTTCAGATGCTTTCTGGAGACGTGCTACTGCCAGTGAGACAGGAGACCGGAATGATCACCTCTGTTTGAAGGCTCAAGGTCAGAGGTCCATAGCATGGTGAGACCACCTGCATTGTGTCTGTCAATCAAAATAAATGGTTGAGCATCATCCTTACTTGACCGTTACGTCCATAACATAGAGTGTCGGTCACTACACACTAGCATCTCATGGGCTATTGAAGGACGATACAGTACCTTCTCTGGGTTCTTTTCATTTTATGCCGGTAAATTAATCGCCTCGTATTCAAAACATTTAATCTCGAAAAGTGGACTGGGTTTATCGCTGTGGTTTTTGGCGCTTACAGGAAATAGCGGTTTTACTACTCGTCTAATATTTGTATTCACAGATGTAATATCCATATGCTGTTTCTTTCTCAGTCCCTTTTGCATCACACTTACCTCATACCGAAACCCAAAAAGTTGAGTTTGGTAAAACACCGCTCGGTACTGCTTTTAGGCGTTCGCCACGTATATAGACCGTGCTGCCGTTATGTGCTATACGACGTTCCTGCCCGTCCAGCATTGTCTGTGCATGTATTTGTGACTTACGTATGACGGTAGTCCAAGTAGACTTTCTGACCGAAACCCTACAGAATAGAAATTGCTGCCTTCCTTTACAGAGGGGATTTACTCATTTGAAAACGAAAGGGTTGTAAGGGACGAGGATGGGAAACTTAAATGTCCATTTTGTGAAATTCATTTACCGTCGTTAACGTATGAGCTCTATGCACGATGGCCTGCCACTCCTAGTTCTAAATCTAATGTCTGGATCCTTGGCCCCTGAGCCGCGTGCATACGGTCTATCGATTTCGCCTGAGATGCTTCATATTCTTCCTGAAGTAAGGTTGATTAATGTGGAAACGAGAAGCATTGCCGATTAAGAGAAGGGAGACAGCAATGGCGTTTTCCGTTTTATTTTATTGTCAGTCAACCCCTGGTTAGAAATATCGCTCAAGCAAGTTCTAGGCCTCAACCACACAGCCAGTTAAACAGCTGCATTCCACCTTGCAGCCTGACGTAACTGCGAAGAGAACTGTGAGCTGAGAGTGAGGAGATTTGACCACGTAATCAAGCCAGACCTGTGAGAGCCACTTTGTGCGCAACTGCAGTTGGGCTGTGTTCATTGATTCCTCCGACTCTTGAGATGCAAGCAGGTTTAAATTCGTTAGAGTTCAGCCTGAACGGAATTTGCTCTTCACGATACTACTTCCGCGTTTCTCTGGGGATGATTGTTTAAAAGCTGATGTACCTAGACGACTTGGCGACAAAAGTATCGGGCTACTAGATATCAGTCTGACTCCTGCAGGAAGAGAGTCGGGCACCCCCGAAACTGAAGTCTTGAATCGCTTAACCACTTTATAGACTAATCAATAATCAACAACACGAGAGTCAAAGTCAGCAGATATACTTTTATGTGATATCACTGTCAAAATGAACTTAGAGGCGGATAGATCACTGCTAGGGTTGAACCAAGGTATCGTTCTTAACATGCGGCCTCTTGTCATCCCTGCCCAAGGTAAACAGCCTGCCGTCTAAAAAAGATTGCGAAAGTTAACAATTCGGGTATCTTTTTATTCTAGAAATCTAGGATTGTTTGAACTTGGCCAGTATTTCCGAGTCGCCAAAACTACTTTTGGTAATACAAGCCCAAAGCAGTGTTGCCAATTTTAAAAACATCACTTAATGGAGCTGTAGGTTCACCCGGTGAACATCGTTATGAGTCCTACATTTATTTCAGCGTTCAAACGGATACTGTGTTTCAGTATTCCCCGTTGATTTTCACAGTAAGTGTCAAGCAGGCTTGGCTACATGGCAGTCCTCTTAGACTTTTAAAAAGTTGCAACAGGCTGGCTGAGCTGCTGTCTCATCACCTTGCCTTTGCTAGCTGAAGGGGAAGATTTTCATGTAGGCCTCATGCTGCTTTGTCACTAGCCTTGTCCAAAAGGACTGACATTCCTGCATTCTCGTCAACGCATTCCTCGTGCTCATCCCCCGTTTAAACTGGTTTACTCATCTTTTCTTAATAACGCGCACTGGCTCGTGCTCTCGCACAACTCATGACACCGATGCTTTCACCCCCCCTTAGGAATGCCATGGCAACCTTCCCAGCTCTTCTCGCCTGCCTTTTGTTTCGACCTTGACAACTGCGACAGAAGAGCAGACGTGGCGGGTTCAAATGAGCGTTTTGGCCGTACGCTCTGCTCCAATACACTCCAAAACTTAACTGATAAACGAAGGTCGCCGAAGGAGTATTCATCTTATACAACATTCTCTGTCACCTTTATTTCCATTCTCATCTACAGAAAACCTCGCTTCCTTTTCACTTTCTCTCTCTGTCTCTGCCACTTATCGTTTATTTTCGCAACCTAGTTGTCCTATTTGCCATGGTCATTCTTGCATAGGAATGACCTGTGGAGGTACAGTATCGGTACGACACTGATCTTGACTGGTCGAAGCTATCTGTTTATAAGGATATGAAGGTATCTTAACTTGGACTAGATACTTGTGAGAATGGCGAGGGTCTTCTTTATACGGAAGTTTAACAAGTATTTTCAGCCTGAATGATGTGTCTTACAGTATGATTAAACATGAGAGTACGTTTCCGCAGAATCGAAGAAATCGCTTAGTCAAGAAAGTACGGATAAAAGCAAATTGACTATGTTGGTATTCTACTTAAGCTTAACACAGCAGTCAGGAAGCCCCGGCACCATGTTTTCGAAATCCGGATAACGTTGACCTAACTATTTTTCTGAAATGCCACAAATAATCTGTTTTGTAACTGCATGCTCTCCATTTTGTCCCGTGGAAGCAAACTAATGTGACAGGCACGGAAACAGAGTGTTACTGGCTTTGAGGTTTTTAACTTTCGGACTGGTGAAGTGAAGGGAGCAGTTTGATTTGATTCTGTATTTTCCCATCCTACACCTCCTATCTTAAGGCACCTCAAGTTGGTTATTTCGAGTAATGCTATCCTCGAAAGCACTGACACATAATACTAGTGGAAGATTTTGACGAGATACATCAAACGAAATGGGTTTCTTACATGCTATTAAAAATTTGGAAATCGTGGTCTGTCTTGAGGTCTACATTTCTCAGGCTTCTGTGTGAAAGTATGATTTTCATGTTTAATGAAGATGTCCTAATTTAAGATTCTGCAACTTGCGGCAATCTCTACTAGAAGGTTGCTGAGAATAGATAATAGCTTAGCGTTTTTAAAAACACAGAAGCAACGTTTGAGGTCATGAATCACGCCTTCTTTTCGGGTCTCCTGTTTTCCATATTAAAAGCGTAGCAACCCTGCTTCTGGTTGAGAGTAACTGCGGATTACTTTGCAGGTGTTTAAGACGCCCATTGTGAGCATTATAGCTACGGTAACAGGAAGTTCTGTACAAAACTCTTTGAATATGATCCTAGGGCTTGAGGTTGGAAAATGACTGCCTGATCCAAGGGAATGAGTCGGCCTTTGCCCCCTACGCACTGCTCCGTTTTTGTTTGAGGATACTCGTCGGTTGCTGACTAGCTACCACTGCGCTATTACATGCGTGGGTGGCAAACTCCAAGACGAATAGAGAATGCCAATCGGTATCCCGCTATCGGGATACATCGTTGAACAAACCTTCCTTGCGACAGAACGGTGTCTCAGCTGAGGTGACGTTAGCCGTTGCCTAAACTAGTGAAAAGTGTGGTTTAAGCTTGTTCGGTGCCTAGCGGACTCTGGTTCTAATATCAGAATCTAGGGTCGTGGCTTGGTTCGCAGGAGACAGTAAATAAGCTGGGAATGGTCGTCATGATACGCCCTTACCGGTTGCACCGCCACCTTTTAGTATACGTTAAAGGGCCTCAAGGTATGCACATGTCAGAAAGAGTTTGAGTTAAATGCAACGTTAAACCTCCATATGTGGACTCCGTGCTTAAGGTGTTGTCTTTTTAGGTACTTCAGAATTGCCGTGGGTTGTGTATACCGAGGCGATGGACTGCTGTATATACTGCTAAAATTGCTGTTGTTGTCTGGAAATATTCATAAAACTTTATCCTTTTTGATGCTTCGTGCAGTAAGTCACTTATGGTTACCCGACATCGTATTCAGTATTTCATAAAGGTTCTAAGTGTGGATGCATTTCATACATAACTCTCAGCATGGGGAAGACATGGTTCCCTTCGTCTGGTACCGGCCTTTTTGGGTGTGTCTTATTAATACAGCATAAAATTGTTGAGCCTAAATATGTCTGCAGCAGAAAAAATGGATCAGGTCAGATGCTGAAAGTGGGGGAGGGGAGAAGTGTGTGAATGCTAAGGCTCAGGCACTGAAGTCTTAACGTATTTACAGGGTCCCCACGTACCGTGCGGTGTGCGATCGTACATTTCATAGTATTTTTGCCGTCACGTTTTGAAAATATTTGTATTGAAATCTATGCTTTTTTCCTCTGAATACCATGGTAACAATTCAATAACAATTTCATGGAAAAAGGTCTTCAAATATCTTGCCATAAAAAGTAATGAGGCAGTTTTTGAGCACAGTCTCAATGGCCTCTCGCCTACGGACATCGCTGCCAAGCTGGAAATGGCCGGGTCAGCAGTTTACGCCATTATCGACCGTTATAAGAAGTTCGACCTCATGGACAGGAAGCCCAGTAGTAGAAAAACAAAAAAATTCCAACCCCTCGTACTATAAAGGTTTTCCAGGATTGTATTCGTTGCAATCCAGCCTCGCTAATGGGGAAATTGGC